TGTTTTTATTTGATTGACGGTAATTTTACTGTTGGTTTCCAGGTAAGTGCATCTTTTGTGGTACCACATTTTGGCATCTTCTTCTTCCTTTTACTGCTCATTGTCAATGTCACTTAACTCACTGAACTTTTTTTATGCTACATTTCATTTTTTTGTTCATTCAAGTATGGTTTATTAATTTGTCACAGACTGTGACGGACCACTTTTGGTGCCTGTCAGACTGCTGGCCACTCTTTCCCCCACTCTCTTCTACTTCGGAAGAGTCCAGACTTTGTTCTAGTAGTTTGTCTCTCTCATATGCTCTGGCAATGTGAGTTTCCTCTGTCCTGGACATAAATAATAATTATTCTTAGATAATTAATTCTCTTCCCCTGCCAGTAATTAGTTTAAGATAAAGAAGTTCTATGTGATTTAAACATAGAGTAATGTAAATAAATAAAGAATACCTTTTAAATAAAACTTCTCCCTAAATAGGCATGGTTGTTGGTTGTTGGACTAAGCCCTAAATTCCTTCTGAGATTTCATTTTTTCCTTTTTTTTTTTTTTTTTTTTTTTTTTTTTTAGTGTCCATCCGTGTGTACACTGGAGCACCTGGGATTTTCATGTTAGGATGTTCAACATACACAGCTATCACAAGTTTTTTAAGGCCAGATGTGACGGCACATGCCTTTAATCCCAGCACTGAAGAGGCAGAGGGAGGCAGATTTCTGTGAGATCGAGGCCAGCCTGGAATGGTATATACAGCAAGTTCCAGGTCAGCTGGGGCTACAAAGTGAGACTCTGTCTCAAAAAACCCAAAAACAGTAACAACAAAGGTTGGGTTTTTATTTATTTATTTATTTTTTTTTTTTTTTGAGACCAGTTCTCCCTGTAGCCCCAGCTGACCTGGAACTTGGCTAAGTAGACAAGGCTGGCCTCGAACTCACAAAGATCTGCCTGCTTCATCTGCCTCCCAAGTACTGGGATTAAAGGCATGTGCCACCATGCCCAGCTAAGATTTCATTTTTCAAGATTATTTTATTGTTTAAAATGACTGTCATAGAATCCAAAGGGAATAAAAATCAGAAGCAGAAATATGTGATTACTAGCTGAACCCATTCCCATTAAAGCACCGTTTCCAGAAGCTGCAGGACACTCTTGTTTACTTCTTGGCAACTGTGCCCTGTCAGTATGGCCATGTGGAGTTGCAGGGGAAGCAGGACAGGCGTCCTCTAATTGGTGTATTTTCTTCCCTGAGTAGATGAGCAGGAGAGAAGAATAAGCAAGGGTGGCGGGAACCAGTCTGCTACTGCAGCAGCTCTTAAAACCTGGCCCTGTGAGAGCTCTTAGTACCTGTTCTTGTAGGAGAACACATTCAGATCTAAATATTAATACATACTGAGTCAAATTCACCTCATTTTTTTGATCTGGAGAGATGTGCTTCTGAAGCCTGAGACAACAGGACTACCCGAGCTAAGAGACCCAGACCAAAAAGGCGTTCTTTCACGTTCACTTCTTTCTGTTTGGGTTATTGGTGATGGTGGTAGTAGTGGTTTATTTGAATTTGAGCTCTCTCTCTCGAGCTCTCCCTCTCTCTCCCTCTCTCTCCCCTCCCCATAACCCCAGCTGACCTAGAACTCACTATGTAGACCAGGCTGGCCCCCATCTCACAGAGATCTGCTTACCTCTGCCTCCTGAGTGCTGGGATTAAAGGTGTGCGCCACCATACCCTGCTATTGACCTTTAATACTTAATCTTTGGTGCCTTTTACATCACACCTCTCCCTTTTGTTTGCATTTGGTTAGACATAAGAATTGGAGTTAGTGCGGTTCTATTAATGTATACTTTCTATTAGTTATACAAAAAACTTCATGTATACCATCCAGGCAGATTCTCTGGTGGAAGTGTATGTGCAGTATGTATGAGTCTCAGTTTTGTTGGTTATGTTGACTGTAATAAGTGGTATTAAAATTACTTCAATAAGTGGATTAGGGGTGATGAATGAATTGAATTAGTTCCAACTGATCTCACTTAAGAAGTAGAAATAGGGGCTAGAGAGATGGCTCTGGTTAAGAGCACTGGTTTCTCTTGACAGAGGACCTGTATTCCAATTCCAGCACCCACATGGTGGCTAACAACTGTCCTAACTCCAGTTCCAGGGGATCAGACGCCTTTTTCTGACCTCCGCAGGCATTGCACAACACAGGTGCATCTACATACATGCAGGCAATACACTCATACACATAAAAATAATAAAATGTAAAAAGAAGTAAAAATAATTGAGAATTAGACAAATAAAGAGAATTTTTTAAATGTCTTAAGTCAGTGTCTTATTAAACTGTCCTTCTAACCTTAGAAAATCATTTTTTTATTAATGATGTGAAAACTAGATACTATCAAAGTTTCTAAATCCTGTTGGTAAGCAAGTATGTTTTAGTGGCTATCACTCCCTAAGGTAGAAGACTGTAGTGGTATGAAGGACTTTTTCATCATAATTGGTTTCTTCTTAATTAGGTGTTTATGGACTAATATGATTCTTAAATCATTCAGCTCTTCCAGTAGCTTTTCCCAGACCTTTTCTGTTTTGTGTCGTTTTACCTCTAAATGAACATCACCTTGAAACATGGAACATCTTTGAATATTTCTTGAATAATAAATTGAAACACCTTTTTCCTTTTCTTTTTCTTGATTTTTAAGCCCACTTTACATCCTAGATGCTGAGACTTTGTGCATATGTCACTGTGCCCACCTGTTCTAGTACTCCTGATCAGAAGGGCCTGTGTTAAATGACCTAGGAGATAAATCAAAACCTGCCAACAAACACTCACACACTTGGTGTTTATGGTAGTGTGGGTACATTAGAGAAGGGGCTGGTAGAAGATATGTTTCTTTCCCATTAGAAGAACTGTTTTCATTATTAATGATAAGAAATTGATCCCAAATTGTGGATGCATTTGAGTGTCAAGTTGAGGTGTTTAAATGTAAGTTTGTATGCACAGTGAATGCTGGGGAATCAAATCAGTTGAGTTAGTCAAGTTCAGGGATAGCATTTTCAGTATTAAATACCACTGAGAAATGAAATAACACATAAGGATGGGAAATTATCGGCATTACAATGGATCCTCAGCTGTGACCACAGTATGCCTGAAGAGCGTGTCATCATGGTTTGGGTGTAGAAGGTTTTGGAAAACCTTACTGAACTTTCTCTAGCTTTTTAAAACAAATTCGTCTCTGTATGTGCGTGCGTGCGTGTGTGTTTGTTTTGGGAGTCTCTCCCTCCTACGTGGGTATCAGGCTTGCTCTGCACTTTTACTTGCTGAGCCATCTCAGCGTGCGTGTGTGTTTGTTTTGGGAGTCTCTCCCTCCTACGTGGGTATCAGGCACTAAGCTCTAATCATCAGGCTTGCTCTGCACTTTTACTTGCTGAGCCATCTCACTGGCTCCCTCTGTGGCTTTTTAATGAGGCATGGCTCCTGCCTTACATTTTAAAGATGCTTGAAAAGAAAAATCAGGATTAGTTGAGGTTTAGAGTTTCCTGATTAACGTTGATTAGCTCCAACAGTACAGTGGGGCACCCATCCTCTGGTCTTCTTTCTGAAACTGTGATCAAACTGGACAGAATTGTCCAAGGCACTTACGGACTGCTGTATTCATGAATCTTATTTTTCTTTATGAAGTTTGTCTGCTAGTTGGGCATTTTCGTAGAGCTGTGATGTTTAGATTTTTCTCTTAATTATGTGCCTTCATAACACAGCTACCTTTAACAGATTTCATCCTGAAATAGTCAGGTCAGCTGTCGTTTATTTTAAGCCTTTTCCAGATTTTCCCCAGGCATTTAGCCATTTCCTTTTCTGGGCTTTGCAAATCAGGTTATATTTTAATGATTTGTTTACACTTGCTTTCACATACTTAAACTGTCAGTCGGTTTAGTGTGTTATGGCCTTGAGAGCAGGGACCTTATCTTATTTTCCTTTTTAACTCCATGTCCCCACTACAGTGTTCTCTCTGGTAGACTGTGGGTAGTTGGGGGGGGGGGCAGGGAAACCACCCAGGCTTGTGGTAGCTTCATAAACCAAATGCCTGGCTGGCTTGTTACTTCTTCATATCCCTAATATCTTCCAGAGTCTTTCAGTGGGTCTCTGATGCTTCATTTTATTCTTTTCCTGATAGCAGTCCTGTATGGAACCACTATGCCACTATGTGATTCTGGAAACATCGTGTTGTGGTTGCATTTTAAAAGTACTACCTTCAGATGGAATCACATCTAAATCAAATATGCTAGGGTAATATAAAACTTACTTTTTAAGTAAGCTATTTTATTATCTGGGTGGTTGGTATTTTTGTTTGCTGTCTGGGTGATTTGTTCTTGCTTCCTTAAGGCAGGATAGGGTATTATGATTTAAATCTGAAGTGTTCCCCTAGGCACATGTATTTGAACCCCAGATCCCTTGGGAAGGTCTGGAAGCTTCAGGAGGTGGGCCCCACCTGGCAACTATTCTCTCTTAAGTTGTTTCTGTCAGACTCTATGGTCTGAACAGTGTAGAAATAACTGATAAGAGAACATTGGGACCAGGGGAGTGAGGTTGCTGCAACCAACCCTGACCATCATGTTTCTAGGCTTCTGGACCATGTGTTTGGAACGGGGGTGGGGGGTATGGGGAGGCATGGGGGGAGCAGGGTGTGGACATTTAGACGAGAGAGGCCTAGAACTTTGAGAGGAGCTGGATTGGCCCTTGTGGTGTGCGTTTGGAAAACAAGGACCTACAGAAACGGGGTTGTTTTCTCTCTTAGTGTAAAACTAAGCTAAATGTAATTGAAATTAACAAAATCTTAACCTAGAAAAGGGGGAGAGATCATGAAACATGTGTAACTTTCTGGTTTTAGCAAACTATTGGCCTGCTTTCCTGTATTTCAAACTACATAAGGAAGCAATTTTGTCTTCTCAACTTGGGGTGCTGTTTTTAATTTTTGCTACAGTTTCATACAAGAGGAGCACTTTAAATTCATTGTGTTATGTGTTACATTTAGTTGTAAAACAGTTCAGATTAAGAGGTTTTTTTTTTTTTACCATTAGTCTTCTAACAAGATATTTACAGTATATGTGGTGAAATGTTTTGCCCATTTTTCAGTAAATTTCCATTTTGTAAGAAAGGTGTAAACTATGGAAATACCTTCAGCCACTGAATGTGAGTCAACATTTGATTAAACAGTCATGTGTTAAGTTCTGCTCTAATTGCTTTACATGATTTTTTGTAATTCTTTCAAAAGTGAGGATTAAATTGTTAAATTTCTTTTCCATATAAGAAAATTGAGGTTAGGAAAGGCTGGGTAACTTGGCTGTGGTCAGAGCACTGTTGAGAAGACACTAAACTTAAGACTGGAGCTTCTGACTCCAAGGCTGGTGTGCTGGTGTCCATTAGTGAAGCTGAGCTGCTTCCTGCAAGGCTGTGGATCCATGGAACAGTGAGGTGGCATGCTGTAAGTTTTCTGTTAGATTTACAAAGACAAGAAATGATTATCAGTATTAGTTCGAGCCAGGATACAGGGAAAGAATAAGTATAGTATACTGAGGTACAAATATAAATTCTTAGCCTATTTTGAAGGACAAGATCTATACTTTCTAAAACGGTGCACACTCTTTGACCCATCCATTCTGCATCTAAGATTTTTCCCATGCTAAGCATTCCCTACCAAAGGCTGGGTTTATTTTGTTTTGTTTTGTTTTGAGACAGGGTCCCTGTAGCCCCAGCTGGCCTATGCAGACCAAGCTGGCTCTGCCTCCCAGGTTTTAGGACTAAAGGCATGTACCACCACACCCAGCTTGTTAGCTTTTTGGGGGGGGTCTTTTTGAGACAGGGTCTCCCTGTAGCTCCATCTGTCCTGGAACCCACTATGCAGAACAGGCTGGCCTTGAACTCCACCTGCCTCTGCCTCCTGAGTGCTGGGATTAAAGGCGTGTGCCACCACGCCTGGCAGCTTTTTTTTTTTTAATATAGCAAACAATTGAAAATAAGTGTCCCTTGGTGCACAGGCTTAGTTAACTTGATGGGCAGTCATAGGACTGTAAGTACTATTGGGGAAGAACCATGTAGCAAAATAGTATGTCTAGTGTGATTTCCTTATGCTGAATAAATATGTGTTTGTGTATGCAAGCTCTGGTCTAAGGCTGTGTTTAACAAAATGCTTCCTAGTTAACATAGCTTAGTAATAAAGTTTCTGAACGGTGGAGAACTGTCGTGGGTGATATTAGCATTATGACTACAGGCCAGTTACTTTACCACTCTGTGCCTGTTTCTTCAATAAAATGAAGATTATAGAACCTACCCAGCTGCATTATGAGACCTGCAGTGTTTGTGAAGTGCTTGACACAGTCAATAGTGAGTGAATCTGAGAGCTATCATGGTTGATTCTGGACAGTAGAATCTAGTCTTATACCTTTTATTTGTTGAAATTTGAAACAATATGCACTAACTTTGGAGCAGTTACAAAAAAAAAAGTTTTGAAAAGTGCCCTTTTAGTTGATATGCTTATATTTTTAAACAGAAAATGTCCAATTATTTAGGTTATTTTAAAATTCTCACTAAACATTTTCTTTAAAAGCTCTCTGTAACCATATAACTTGCTATTTTACCCTATCTTATATGCCAAATTTAGGGAAATTGAAGTCATATTTTACTTTTTGGTTAGAAGGCAAGCTCGGTCATAACAGATTCTTCCTGGAGAAGCTGCTTTAATTTGCGGCTGCAATGACATGCAGACTGTGACGTCAGTCTGGTGTCAGACTTCAGAGTGGCTGGCCCGCCTGACAGCCACAGTGCACAGCCACACAGTGCACAGCCACACAGTGCACAGCCATTGGTGGTAGTCCTCACAGCCTTGCTTGAGAGCAGCTCAGAGACAGAGGAGTTCAGTCCTGCTTCACCCCAGGTACTCTGTGCCTGTAGCTGAGTGTCTTTTGAAGGATGCGATGGTGAGGAAGGAGGTGGGTAATTCTTGTGACTCTCCTGCTTTATAGCTGTTGCCTTGCTCTCAGCTACTGATCCTGCAGTAAATGATCTTTGCAGCCCTTGTGCCAGGCAGGGCACCAGTGCAAAGGATTTACACATCATATGTATTTCTGTAACTGTTACATTATAGACGTCTAAATACATTCATTAGGTTTTCAAATGATTGGAACATTTTAAGGTATGGGTATCAAAAATGTCTTTCTCTTAGTCTGTACTTAACTTCCGGCTACATAAATACATAATAGACACAAATTACTTTAAGGCCAAGAATTTTGTTTTGTTTTTTTAAATCTGTTTATCTTGTTTATTTTTTTTTAGCTTACTCAGAAGTTGGACACACATACACACACACACACACACGCATGCACGCACACACATGCATGCATGAATGGGGGAAGGAGAAAGAGAAGAGAGTTAAAGAACTCAGATATTCTTATAGAAAAGGTCAACAATATTATTATATAATGCTTTTTTAAATTGAATGACGGTGTAAACTGTTAGTTGAAATTGCTTTCATTTTGAGAATTGTCTCACTGGTGTTATTCAAAGTTAGAATTCTTATTAACCTAGAATTTAAGAACACAATACTAGATTTCATATTGGAGATGGTATTTTTGTACTGGAAGGAATTTTAGAAATTTATATTAAACTGTAGCAGCCTGGAAGTGTTCCTTTACAGAATCTGTTCTATTAGCAGTATCATCCTATGTCTTTTAATTACACTATATAAATTGATGTAGTTTGAAAGCATTGACGTAAGAAGAAAGTTATGTTGTATGCGGCTTTCCTCTTTTTGTTTTTGAATGTAGCAGCTTTCTGTTTGCATTATACATTTTAAAGGTTTTTCCTATGGACATTTGTAATAATGTTTTTATGAAGGTTTAGTAGCAGTTTTTAACTTCTTAAGAATAGCTATTTCATATGAGGAAAGGACATCTTAATAAATATATTTTGCTCAGTTTTATGTAAAAATGAATGATTTACTATACATATTTATGTGAATAACATATGTGTTGGAAGGCAGTGTTCTAAATCAGTTTCTATATGTTAATGTATAAAATGCCAACTTTGAGGAAAAAAAAATAGCTGCCTGATGATTCCTGGCATATTTTATTTCTATATTTAGAAGCATAGAAATAAAGACATAGAGCTTCAAGTTCATTTTATTTAACTTGACAGCTTTTAAGATTTAGTTTTTTTCCCTGAAGTTGCTGAATTTTCAACTTCCACCTAAGATTCTGCCCAGAGCTAGAAATTTTAAGAAGTGCTATATATGAAAACTTCATGAATATTTCTATTCCCTTTAAAAATTTATCATGAATCCTCTTAAAATATTTTAACATGGTTTTACAAGTCTGTGTTTTAAATTTAAGCAGTAAGTTACTGTGGTATGAATTCGAACAGATCCAGCACACCATTTAGACAAAGATGGGTTTTGAGACGTGTAACATCAGAGGTCATTGCTCCTGCCAAAGTTCACATGAGAAGAAGCTGCTATGACCTCTGTGTGATCAGGAAGTTAAGCCTGACAGAAAGAGGATGGTGAGCAGAGCTGTGGGGAGACAACTTAGAATGGACCTCAAAGTCTACTTGGGTCTAAAGTAGTAGAAAATACAGTTACTTGGCTGTTTCCTAGAGAAGGAAGTATGTCTGAAGAATTTACATAATTGTGCAGTTTTATTTGTTTGAAATTGGGTGTGGAAAACTCAGATGACTGTTTAAACCCCTTTCAGGTTTAAACTATATTTTTGTTTTCTCACAATGGGCAGTACATAACCTTGGGCATATGAGATGCTTAGAAATATTTCCGCATGAATAAATGAAATGACTAAGCAAGTTAAATGAGAGAGAAGAGTATCTAGGCTTTCTATTAGAGAGATTCCATCTTACTTTGAGGACCACGGCCTGTCACTTGCTACTAGCCAACTGGTAGTATTCCACAGCATGGACTTATACTCAGGTGCTGCCAGCACAGGGCTCCACGGAGGTCCCTGAAATGCCAATGTGTTAGTGCTACTCCACTCACAGGGTCTTCTTGCTATAGAATGTGGACCTCACCCAGCTTTTCTGGATTGGATTTCTGTCTCATTCTTGCTTCATCTGTGAGAAATTTCTGGGTGTTTGGTGATAAAGCTCATGTGGTTTCTGAAAAGAACTAAATATGGAGTAAAGAATAGGTAGTTTAAGGGGCTGGAGAGATAGCTCAGTGATTAAAATCACGTGCTGCTCATGCAAAGGATGTAAATTCAGTTCACAGCAACTTAACAGCTGTCTGTGACTCCAGCTCCTGAGATCCAACTCTCTTCGGCCTCCTCTGGCCTCCATGGGCACTGCAGTTACATGCACAAACCTCCTCTCTCTCTCTCTCTCTCTCTCTCTCTCTCTCTCTCTCTCTCTCTCTCTCTCTTTCACACACACACATACACAAGTAGAAATAATTTTTTTTTTTCTTAAGCTGGGCATGGTGGCACATGCCTTTAATCCCAGCACTTGGGAGGCAGAGGCATGTGGATCTCTGTGAGTTCAAGGCCAGCCTGGTCTACATAGTGGGTTCCAGGTCAGCTGGGGCTACAGGGAGACCCTGTCTCAAAAAAAGACCAAGAAAGAAAGAAGGAAAATCATTTTTTATAAAAGGAATAGCTAAATGAAATCATTAGCATTTTTCTGTTTGAATAGAACTATTTACTCCATCAGTTTAACTTTGAAAAGAATGCTTCATCCACAATAAAGTAATTGCTTTTCTTCAAATTGTGGGGTAACTTAAACATAGGATAGAAGTAGGTCACATATCTAGTGTGACATATGTAAGAATTAATTCTTGATATTGACTTTCTGGTTTGCTATTTGATTCCTTCCCATTGGGACAATAAATGTCTATTTAATGTATGTTACAACCAAATATTACTAATTAGCATTCATCAGGGAGTAGTAGAGTTGTCTGAATTCATGAAATTAAAGGTTTCATGTATATTTAAATACTGCATTGTTACTTTTAAATGACAAAAGGAAACAGGCAAAGGCCTGTCAGTGTGTGTTTCATTGAGGTTCTGATTGCTTTTATTTTAAAAGTTCCTACCTACCCTAGGACTCTTGTAACTATTTTTTTATGTAAGTTACTTTGCCGTTTTTCAAATAGCACTCATTTTTGGTTTGAGGTTGTTTTGTTTTTGAGACAGGGTCTCGCCATGTAGCTCCAGCTGGACTGGAACTCAGGTAGACCATCCCACGCTGGCCTGGATCTCACAGCCATCTGCCTGCCTCTTCCTCGGAATGCTGGGATTAAAGGTAGTCTTAAACCACTAAAGTATTTGCTGTGGTCGCTTTTGCTGTGCTGCAGGGCTTTGTGAATGCAGTCCTCACTGTGCAGATCAGTTCACAATAACCTTAAGCATAGGCCACTAGTGTTGTCTTGCTTCGTTACAGAAGATGGTGCAGACACCCAGCAGTCTTCTAAAGCAAGGAAGTACCCAGGTGGACTTGTTTCCTATAGCTAATTCTTCTAGCACATTCTAGTTCAGCTGGTGTTTGGGAGGGGCTGCATCACACCCATTAGTAACCTTGGTGTGACGAAGCACTCTGTCCTTTCAGAGGGGCATAGGTTTTATAGTTTTGATGTTTTTCTTTGATGTGCATCTTTCAGAGTTTTTCTATAGCATGAAGGTAGATAAAATAGAAGGGGTGGTTAGAATGAAGTAGATTAGAATGCTTTTTTAAATGTCTTAGGATCAATGCTCGAGCTGCTCCGTGCATGTGCAAGGGCCTGGATTTGATCCCTAGTGTCATTCCCCTTCTTCCTCCCCGCCACAAACACCTTTATAAAGACTCAAGGACATATAAGGCTCCAGTAAAACAGTGGTTGAGCTATTGCAGACCACCTGCTCTCATAGGGTGATTGCTACCAGCAGCCAAAAATATCACAACTTAATTCTTCTACACTTGGCAGAAAATTACCCTGAATTTTTATGGGAATTCTAAACTCAGATTTCTATCTCAACCATACACTGGTACAGGCGTCCTTTCCATTTTCCCGTTTAAGAACGCCTTGAGCTCAGACTCACTGGAATTCCCTATGGGTCAAAAAATTTATCAATTGGTCTGAAGTGTAAATGTGTGGTGTCACTCAGATGGATGTGATAGGTACATTTTGTTTTTAACTAGCACAGTGTTAATTGAATTATTCTTGAGTTTCAGAATTATTTAAAATTCATTAAAAGTGATTATTTATGTGTAATATACATGCTATTTTTATTGGAAATAACCAAAAGCTGAAGCAGGTGAGATTGACTTTTTAGTGCTCAGGTCCTGGTTTGTTACTGTTTCCAGTCCATAGTAATCCTTTCAGCCTCGTGCTTGGGTTATTACAGCATACTCACGCTTCCCTACTCAGGTTTAAGGCCCTCTCTTTTGGTTGGGTCAAGCCAGATCTTCAGTTCCTGTGGGTGTAATGTATGCCTTACAGTTGGTGGCATTTGTGCTTGTATTCCTTGGTACCTGTCATGGGGGAGCGTGACGTAACAGTTCTAAATCTGCTATGGTGATAATTTTTGTCTGAGCAGCTGACTTGAGGGGGGGAATGATTGCAGAGCTTCAGAGCATAGGAAGATAGAAAGGTATTGAGTTTAAATTAAATTAGAATTGGAAAAGATTTCATCACAGTTCCTCAGATGGAAATGGTAGTGAGGCCGATGGCTGAAGGCAGAGTGCAGGGGAGCTGCTAGGGACACTGCCTGGGCCCCACCCAGCTCTCCCTGTTGCTGGAGAAGGGAAGGACTTCTGAGGAAAGTGTGGCTTTGCCTGCCCACCCTGCTGCCATTACAGCAGACAGGAGGACAGAACCAAAAGTGCACTGACTATGGTAAGTCAGGGAATAGGAGGCTGCAGAAGATAGGCAGCCATCGGAAGGAAGGACTCTGCCCGGAAGCACTTCTGCTTCCGCGCCTTTAGAAATGTGCTGAGCCTCGGTTGACCTATTTGTAAACTGTAACTAATAATCCTGCTTCACAGGGGCTCTGTGAGGATTGTCAAGGTCCAAGAACAGTGTGAGCAAGGTGCGTAAGCAGCCCTAGTGTCTACTCGAGAGCCAGCTGTTGTTACTGTGTCGACTGTATGTTTCGTATGACGATCAAAGGGAGGTTTTCACACTGATGTCCCCTTTTTAACCCCCAATAAATCACAGATGATCTGCTTTCTAAATTATGAGAGAACACATAATAAAGGGTTAGCCAGGCATGGTGGTGCACACCTTTAATCCCAGCACTCGGGAGGCAGAGGCAGGCAGATCTCTTGAGTTCAAGACCAGCCTGGCCTACATAGCAAGTTCCAAGTCAGCTGGGGCTACAAGGAGACCCTTGTCTCAAAAAAGACCAAAAGCAAGAAAATAAAGGGTTAAGTCCTTGAGGAGAATCTGTGCATGGTAGATAAGTGAATCACTGAGGTTTGAGCGGCATGTCTGGAAGCATTTAGTTCTGAGTTAAAGGCAAATGGCATTTAGATCTGAATGTGGGAAGAGGAAATAGATAACTTCTCCGGGTTTTTTTAATTACATCTTTCATATGGTAACTGTGTGGTCATTTTTTCATATAATCAAGGTCCAAGAATTGTTTCCCTCAAGGAAGTCAGGGTGCTTGTGTTTTTTTCTCACATGTTCTTAAAACATCGCCTTTAATTATAGGCACAGTTTTCCATGCCAGCATATTTTTAGTTTGTAAATAAATCACTAAAGCAGTCATCGTGGTAGCCAGATTTCCAAATACTATTTTCCTCCTGTTTATTAAAATGAAACTAAAGTAGCTTGATATGTAAAGCATTGGTGAACTGTGCATTTAATAATAACAAGCATTATTTTAAGCCAGATAGAATCCATCAACTTAATAACTAACTGCTACAGGCATTTTTTTAACCTAATTATATTTGATTGAATATCGATGGCAGTTACTGCATGATTTCTAATAGTAAAATCTCTCCAATTTTGAAGCAAGCAAGAGAGTATAGTTGTCTTATAGTGTCTTGTGTTACGGTCTTATAGTATAAACTGAGACTGTATTGAGCTATAACATTCTTTCAGTTGAGAAGTTTGCAAAATAAGTTACAAGCTGTTGGCTGCAGTTTTCTGCCTAAATGAGAAAAATACAGTCAGTTCCATTGATCCACATGCCTTCTGCCTGTCTCTGTTCTAACAATCTTGTGGGTTTAGATGTGGTGATTTTTGTGGGTTGGGCCTTTGTAAAAGTTAAGAGTTGCCAGAAGAATTACCAAGCTGCAGCTGCCAAACCTCACTGTGCTATCCTATTTTGCTTACAGGAAATCAAATCCTTTTCTCTTTGAGATGATTCATAACTAGTGATTCGTAATAGTGCTTAGTTAGAAACAACCAGAATCTCTTGTGTCCTTTTCTAAAGACACCTTCTTTACATGGTGAATATTTTTTCAACATTGTTGGCAGTTATATAAAACACCACTTAATAAGTTTACTTTGATGTATTGTATCATGCTGAAGAGTTGTACTAGTTGTTATTGGTAACATTAATTAGCAATGTCAATATTGACTTCTAAATTGAAAAGCAGAATCAATCTTAAATTAGTCACTGAAGTTACTCACGTGCTGTAGTCCAGGCATTGAATGTCCCGCAGAGACTCGTGTGTTTAAGACTTGATCCTCAGAGTGGCTCTGTTGGGAGGAAGTGGTACTTTAGAGAGGTGAGGCCTTGAAGGAGGTCTTAGGTCATTGAGAGCGTGCTCCTCAAAGGAACCCTGTGGGGGCACTGGCAATGCAGTGAGTGGTTGCTCAACTCTGTGCTGTGCTTTGCTGTGATGCCCTACCCTGCAGGTCCTGAGCATCGGGATCAATCTGTTACGTAATGGAATCTCCAAAACTATGAGCCAAAATAAACCTTTTCTCTTACAAGTTAGAATCTCGGATGGTTTGTTGTAGCCATAGAAACACCATGAAATAAAGCTTTTTAAAAATAGAGTGAAAACAGCTGTTCTTAAAAGAAACAGTTGCAATACTAAGTACTCACTATGTAGTTATTGAACAAAATATGAGAGTATTTTCTAAGACACAAAATATGAGAGTATTTTCTGAGACTGTGAGGAAAAGCTCTAGTGTTCTTATGTTCAGGTTAAATCATCTTCCTTGCCTTCCAAAAGAAAGAAACTGGCCAAAACATCTTCATTTACCATGGAGAAAAGATGTGTAGAATATTTAGAATATGCTAGTGCAGGTGTTTTCCTTAAAGCTGGTGTGTCTGAGAAAAATAGAATGTTTCTTAGCCTTACCCTCCTCCTTCCTGGATAATGTAAGAATTTCATATGTACCTTTTCTTCCGTATGGACCACAGTTGAGTCTTACTGGGTGAGCTTACTTTAGTGGTCACGCTTCTCATGCTGTTACAGAACTGGGCAGGGCTTTAGTATCTTTGATGAGAGTCTAGAGAAGAACAGCTGTGGAACATTGGCTAAGCTTGAAAAACGAATGTGCCAAGAAAAACTTTCATGGTCTGTATGTGTGATGCCAGGTTTGGACCTATGAAGATGCCCAACTAAAAAGGACAAGCCTGCCAGGCGTGGTGGTACACACCTTTAATCCTTGCACAGATCTCTGAGTTCAAGGCCAGCCTGGTGGTCTACATAGCAAGTTCCAGGCCAACTAGGGGCTATAAGGAGACCCTGTCTCAAAAAAGACCAAAAAAAAAAAAGGACAGACATCTTTTCTTCCTTTGAAGAGCTGGAGATTGGGCATTGGACCTAGAGCCTGATGCAGGCTAAGCAAGCACTCTGTCTCTCGGTTATACTTTCAGCCTGTGTAAGTTCATATTTAATATCAGAAATAGCTCTTCCCAACAGGGCACACACCTCAATTCAAAGAACTTATTATGCACTAACTTATTACATACAACATTTAAATCTCTTAGTTGATTTGTCAAGATTTATAGTGTGATAGCAGGTTTATAATACTGTATTCCGTTAGTCAGCCCATGGTTAATAGCATTAAATGATTCTTACATGGTTTGAAATTCCAGTCCATTGAGGATAAAATCATTCCTTCAGGTCTACTGACTTGTATTGTTTTCGAAACTAAAAATTTGACAAGCAATGATTAACAAGCAAATATTTTTCTTATTTATTTTTATGTGTGTGAGTGTTTTGTCTACATGCAAGTGCACCATGTGTGTGCAGTAGCTACAGAGGTCAGAAGAGAGTGTCAGATCCCCTGGAACTGGAGTTATCGATGGTTGTCAGCCACCATGTGGGTGCTGGGAACCAAACCCAGGTCCTCTGCAAGAGCAGCCAGGACTCTTAACAACTGAGCCATCTCTCCATCCCCTCTTTGTCCTTTTTCTCATCCCATAGTTTTACTGGCATTTATATTTGAAATGTAATTTTGCATTTTATGCATTGTGAGGTGCTTTCATATGAATGCCCTTGTCCCTTTCCTTTATAAGGCTCTTGCTCTACGCAGACACATCTTCTTCCTTAAACCTGGAAATGGGGAGGCCCTGGTTGCTCCTGCAGTTTAAGTTGTGTTTGAATTGATTTAAGCCAACTATGCTAAGTCGCTCTACTTCTGCTAGTATGTTCCAGAAGCTTTCCCTTTTTATCTGGGCTACCAGAAAGCTCAGGACCAGTCCTCTGCTTAAAAGTATACCATAGCCCACATATTCTGTTAGCTAATAGCATCATTCATTATTTGATTCAAGAATTGAGGAGTTAAGTAAACTAGTGAAGTTTTATTCTGTCTTGGATAGGCGTGTTCATCATATCTAGATCATTATTAAATGAAGTGACAGTTCTATAGACATTTGAAGGAGGCAGACCTTGCACTCAGTCCTCTGCTTACAGTGATTAAACCTAGTTCTGATAAGTGCATAATGACAAAGAGCCAGTGATATTTTTTTCTGTTTATAACTAATGGTCTCTTGGGGGTGGCATTCGTTCAGCCATTTTATCGAAGCCTTTCCTGAGGCAAGATCCTCACATTGAGTTCTGAGCTTGCGAATGTGGCTTATTACCTTCATCTCTGCCCTCTGGAACTCCTCAATTCCTTTGTCTTTCTGTCTGTCTGTCTGTCTGTCTGTCTGTCTGTCGTCAACTCTCACTAATAGAACTGACTGGCCTGGAACTCATTATATAGACCAGGCTGACTCCAAGAGACCCCCGCCTGCCTCTGCCTTCCAAGTGCTGAGATCACAGGCATATACCACCACAGCTGACTAAAATCTCATTTTTAAATTTTTTTTTTTTTCCAGGCTTTTTGAGACAGGGTCTCCCTGTAGCCCCACCTGACCTGAAACTCACTATGTAGACCAGGCTGGCCTTGAACTCACAGAGCTCCACCTGCCTGTGCCTCCCGAATGCTGGGATTAAAGGCATGCACCACCACACCCACCTAAAATCTCATTTAAAAAAAAAATGTATTAGTCATTATTTAAGAAACAGCTCTCGGGGCTGGAGAGATAGCTCAGCGGTTAAGAACACTAGCTGTTCTTGCAGAAGACCCAGGTTCAAATCCCAGCACCCACATGGTAGCTAATAACTGCCTGTAACTCCAGTCAGCCGGTATTTGATGCCCTCTTCTTTCCTCTGCAGGCATTGCATGACATGGGTATGTTTGCATACATGCAGGTATAACACTCATACACATAAAATAAAAATAATAAATTAAGAAGACCTGAGTTCAGTTCTCAGCACCTCTGGTATAAAGACATAGCCCATCTCTCACCAAAGCTATCAGAATTCCTTTTCTCTTTAACCTTGTAGCAGTAGAGGCAGGTGTCTCTACCAGAAACATAGAAACCAAGAGAGATCAATTGTACATGGGCCAGGTGATTAGTAAGTGCAACACATGCTACACTATGATACCTGCCTTTGCGAGGGAGGTGAATTACTGGGAAGAGTTAGAAGAGGGATTATCTGGAACTGAGTGTCAAGTATCATCAGATGTGGATGAGGGTTTCATAAATAGTCAATGGATTGAAGTAGCTGGTGGTGAGTATTTGAGATGTATGTTTTGTGAATTCTTGTGCCTAAATCTGTTGGGTGTAGTTTTCTGGATTTGGAGGGATTTTGCAGATAAAAGAATGTGTAAGCAAACAATGTGTGCTGTGCTCAGTTCACTCTCTAATGTATGAATCCCCTGGAAAGACTGCCAGATCCACAGTGCAGAACTGAAGGTATTCTTGATCTGATTTTGAGGCCTTTAGAAGTAAAACAGAACAAAACAAACCTGATGAACTGCAAAAAGGGATGGCAAATACCATGTGAGTCTATGATTTGCAGATAAGCAGGGGACATATTAGGCAGAACAGAAAGAAGACTGGGAACCACTGTCTTCTCTGTTCTCTTGATCATTCACCCCTCCTTGTACCAAAGACAGTGATCAAGACCTAACAGCGGTAGGTAGGCCAACTACCTCCCACAAGGTCAAATCTATTAAAGAATTTTTTATATTAGCACAAGAAGGGTAAGAGAGGGTCAGTCACCAGACATGGTGGCTCACACCTTTTATCCCAGCAGAAGCAGGTAGATCTCTTGTGAGATCCAGGCCAGCCTGGTCAACATATGAGTTCCAGGCCAGATGGGATTACAAGAAGACCTTATCTCAAAAAGCAAAGGGGCGGGGGGGGGGGGGTTTGAGTGTGACCAGAATGTAATAGATGCATGTATGAAATTGTCAGAAAATAAATTAATTTAAAAAATTAAAATACCACTGTGTTTTAACTATATGAGGATTTCATTGTGCTGATGTCCTGGTATTGTGGAATGTTCCTCTTTGATCTGTGAAATGTGCCAAAGTTGAGCCAGGGTAGAGAAGATAGGTACATGCACACATTTATTTTCATGGCTCACTTTTGAAAGTGATTGTTTCACTAGTGTTTTTCTAGTCGGTTTGCCTTTATAAAGTATTCAGAAAACAGAACTGAAGCCTTGGACCAAATGAGGGAGTGAGTTTAATGGTATTGTTACTTAAGTGGCAGACACATGCATACCCACAGCCATTTGTAGAACTGGTACATTTAGGAATGTCGGTAGGCTGCTGCCTGGAATTTTCTCTCCTTTCTTTAATAACTTTAATGTCACAATAATTTTTGCTACCAAAATATTAGGAAAACATTTATGATTATAGAAGTGCCTACATATATTCACTTTTTCTTTTATTCTTTCAGCCACAATGAAAGGAAAGTGACCTGTAAGCATCCAGTCACAGGCCAGCCATCACAGGACAACTGTATCTTTGTAGTGAATGATCAGTAAGTTGTTTCACAGACTGCCTGTATTCAGAGTGGGGGTAGCACTGCAGTTAGTGGGATCCTTGTTTAATACAGCACAGCTTCACGTTTTCTCTATCTTATGTAGTCAAGTGCAGCGATATCAGCTGTTTATGATGATATCAAAACACAATTTTTTTCATGAGGAATGTAATTTTAGTTATTCATAAGAATTCAAACTCTGGGAGTAATAGAGCTCAGGTTGCCAACTTAAAGAAACTTTGCTGGGCTGGAGAGATGGCTCAGTGGTTAAGAGCACTGACTGCTCTTAAAAATGATAGGGAAAATATTTTTTTAAAAAAGAAACTTTGCAAGCGTAAGACTGTTAAACTAATTTGAGGTCGGTTTTCTCACTCTTTTTTTATTTTATATTATTTTTATTTTATGTGTATAAGTGTATTGCCTGCATGTATGTGAGTGCACTATGTCAGATACCCCTGGAACTGGAGTTAAGGACGATTCGTAGCCACCATGTGGGTGCTGGGTATCGAACTCGAGTCCTCTGCAAGAGCAGTCAGTGCTTTTAACCACTGCCCCAGTTGTCTCACTCTTAAATTTGGGATTGTAGTAATTAGCTGTTTCCCATAGTTTTTTGTTTGTTTATTTTTGAAACCTGGTTTTATATAGCTTGGGTGGCCTTTCACTTGCTCTGTAGCCAGGGATGACCTTGAACTTCTGGTCCTCTGGCCCATACTTCCTGAACACTGGGACTGCAGTCATGTGCTGCTGTATCTGGTTTATGTGGTGCTAGGGATGGAACCCAGGGCACTCCACCAACTGAGCCACAGCTCAGCTCCACTCCTACAATGTTTGTAGGTATCAAAGGACATGATGACATGTATATGTTTGGGGGACTATAAAACTCTTAGCAACTATTATTCTTAACATTGAAATATTAATACAGTAATTCGTGTGTATATGCATGTATACATGCATGGGACTGAGCCCAGGGCCTTGTGCATGCAGATCACACTCTGCTGCTGAGCTACACTGTCTTTTGTAATTCATTTCCCAGGCGAATGACCAAGTAGAAGATCTGCAGTGGTGTCTGGTTTTTTTTATTTGTTTTTGTCTTTTTGAGACAGGGTCTCCCTGTAGCCCCAGCTGGCCTGGAACTCTTTGTAGACCAGGTTGACCTGGAACTCACAGAGATCCGCCTCCCCTGCTTCTTAAAGGCATGCAGCACCATGCCTAGCTGACTCTGTTTAAACATGGTGCTGACCTATGTTGGGCTACAGGTGTTAGTCGGTGAGCTTTAGATACTGCTTTCCTGTAACTAGTGTACAACTCTTTCGAAAAGTAGGACACCTGTGTAACTCTAGAGACACGCTGCTATAAGCAGCTTACAGGTACAGCAGATTCCAGCATTTGATACACTTCCAGGACTGTGGCATCCATGACATCTGACGGGAAGAAGGAGCGGCCCATCAGCATGATGAATGAGGCTTCTAACTACAGCATGACTCCAGATCATGTGGTGCATCCCATGAGCCCTGTGGGCAGAGTACGTTATTTTGCTTACTATTAAGTGACGAGAAGTGCTAGTTAGTATCTATTGCTATTACTTGTTTGAGGTTTATTGTAATTGGAATCATGGAATAACATTAAGTAGATTTTATTATTTTGGAAGTAATTGACATAAAGAATAATACCTTGAAAAATAAAATAATAGGATTATAGTTTAATAACTTAACACTTCTTTTGAATGCTGAGTTCAAATCTTGCATAATTTTACAAATATTTTGGATGGAGATATATATATATATAAGAGAATGGAGACTTTGTTGAATCAACCAAACTTTTAGAGGGGAAATTTATATAATAGCCTAGAAATTACATTTCTTTGTGTACAATTCTTAGACTTGAAACAAGCCAGCAAAAGTAGAATTGTAGAATTCATTTTTTTCTGTATGTATCGGAGAAAGATAAAAGTTAGAAAGGTGATCAAAAGTTTAAACCTCTAGACATTATGCCACATGTTCTGTTGTGCTTTTTTCTGTTTAGACTTCACGGGCTTCAAAAAAAGTTCATAATTTTGGAAAGCGATCAAATTCAATTAAAAGGAATCCTAATGCACCGGTGGTCAGACGAGGTTGGCTTTATAAACAGGTACTCTTTTCTGCTGTTTGATGGGAAACAAAATCAGAAGGAATCTGTTGGTTCAAATGTTACCAACTATATAAAGTATTTTTAAAGTCAGCGTGGAAATAAAAACAAGAGTATTGTTTGATTTTTCTGTTCATACAAGAATCAACAGACAGATTCACAATCTAGAAGAAAAAATAAAAATAAATGTACAATTTCCTGTCTTTATACAGCAATCTAATGACTGATATTTAGCTTTTTAAAAGATTTTTGCACCAGGCATGGTGGCACATGCCTTTAGTCCCAGCACTCAAGAGGCACAGGCAGGCGGATCTCTGTGAGTTCAAGGTCAGCCTGGTCTGTATATATGGAGTTCCAGATCAGCTGGAGCTACAGGGAGACCCTGTCTCAAAAAGCAAGAAAAAGTTTTTTTGCTTCTATGCTCAGACTGTTCTTAATGTCTTAGTGATATGTTTGTCTTTGCTTTTTCTTTTCATGCATGTTCAAATAGGCTTTATTCTCAAATCTTGATATGTTAGGGTTGAAACTGTTGTACTACCTGGGAAAATCTATAACTGAGCAGTTTTTTTTGTTTTGTTTGTTTTGTTTTTTACTATTTTATTTATTATTTTTATTTTACATGTATGAGTGTATTGCCTGCATGTATGTGAGTGCACCCATGTCGTGCAGTGCTGTGGAGGTCAGAAGAGGGCTTCGGATTCCCCTGGAACTGGAGTTAAGGACAGTTCGTAGCCGCCATGTGGGTGCTGGGAATCGAACCCAGGTCCTCTGCAAGAGCAGTCAGTGCTCTCAACTGCTGAGCCATCTCTCCAGCCCCTATAACTGAGCTTTTTTGGAAGCTAGTCACTATTTTGGGAATCAGTGGGCTTACATGCACATTATCTCCTGGGACCTTGCTTCATTTTTATTGCTTTGAGACTGTTTTCTTTGCGGTTGACACTGGTTTTCAGATAAGTGACTACCAATAACTGAGATGATAATCCAGTATCCTAGGCTCTTTTCTGCCTTTAGTGTCTTATTCCACTAGAGAGCTAAATATTAGTAATGTATCTGAAGGGATAGTTACTTTAATTTGATCATTACTACATTGTATGCAAATATTGAAACACTTATCCCATAAAAATGTGCAATTACTCTGTGTTGATTAAATTTAAACATTTTAAACCAGGTATAGTAACCCATAACTGTAATCCCAGCATTTAGGAAGCTGAAACAGAAGAATGAGTTCAAGTTTACCCTGGGCTTGTCTCACATTATTAAGGGCTAGAAATGTAACTCAGTAGTAGAACTTATGCCTAGCATTTGTAAGCCTCTGAGTTCAGGCCCCAGCACACAGACATACACAAAAATTGTTTTCAAGTGACGAGGGAGATGGCTCAGCAGTTAAGAGCACTGGCTGCTCTTGCAGAGGGCCTGGGTTTGATTCTCAGCACCCACATGATGGCTAGCTACCTTCCTTAACTCTAGTTCTGGGAGATTTGATGCCCTCTTCTGACCTCCACAAGCATTGCACAACATGGGCACACTTACATGCAGGCAATACACTCACACACATAAAATAAAAATGATAAATAAGACACTGAAAGGTCATATACCATTAAGACATCCCCCCTTTGTTTGTGTTTTTGTTTTCTTCCTTGGTAGCTGTTAGTTTCAAAGGCAAATCTTTTACATTTGGATTTTTTTCTGCCCATATTATGCATCTGTCATTTTAAGATCACCGTTAGATTAACTTTGTCTTTTTTCTGCATTTTGATGTCTAGTTTTCTCTAGCATTTTTGCTCTATTATTTATTCCTTATGGGAAGGTGATTTGCATTTAAACTGTGACCTTGTTTGAGCCTGGTGTTCTCATGAAGTAGATGACCAGAAATAGCTCGCCCACAGGCGTTCTGCTGCAGGGTGAACAAAGTGCAAACTGCCGGTGTGAGGAGAGAAATGTCTGTGCAGAATTTGTATATTAAGCTTTCTTTACTCACAGTCATTTTAAATCATCTTACATTTAGGGTCATCTCAGTGCATGTATTTTACTTCCTGTTGGCAATGAACATATTTATTAAATCTGGTTGCCAGAATGAGTTGCGTCCACTGCATGTCACATTATGTCCTCACACCTTCCAGTTCAGAAGAGAATTTCAGATTGCTTATCAATGATGCAGGGCAGATTGCTACAGCTTCCTCCTAGGATGGTGCAGATTGCTGCAGCTTCCTCCTAGGATGGTGCAGATTGCTGGCAGCTTCCTCCTAGGATGGTACAGATTGCTGCAGCTTCCTCCTGGGATGGTGCAGATTGCTGCAATTTACTCCTCATGACAATGTTGCTCTTCAAAGGACTGTCTTCACTAATACAAGTCCCTAGAAATTTCCTTTAAACTTTCTTTAATTAGCACATAACACTTATGAATATTTATGAGGTGCCATATGATGTTTTCATACATGTGGCTATTGTGATCAAATCTGGGAAATATGTCTGGTTCCCCAAATTGTCCATCATTTCTTTGTGGTAGAAAAATGAAAACTCCTTCCAGGTTTTCCATTATGCAGTGGTCACCTGGCAGTGCAAATAGCAGAGAAACTGGCTTCTATCTTACCAAAATGTAGTCCTCAAATTTTGATAGGCCTTTTAATTAGGTTATGTCACATACGTATCAAAAATATCTTAAAATATGTTGGTTTAATGCAGGACAGCACTGGCATGAAACTGTGGAAGAAGCGCTGGTTTGTGCTCTCTGATCTCTGCCTGTTTTATTACAGAGGTGAGTCTCCATGGACTGTTTTAGCATGTTACTTTATCATTATAATATATGCTGAGTATTAGATACTTTTAAAGGAAAAACATTAGCACTTGTGCTGTTTTACATTAGACAGATAATACAAGAAAATCTTTCTTCACTGACCCAAGATTCAGATTTTACTAGAATATGACAGAGGCAATATAAGACTTCAAGCTGATTGGTCTGATTTGGGTCTACTTCCTGTATTCTGATTGGTTTTGTGTAAAGCACTTAGGAATCACCACTCTGTTAAGCTGTCTTTAAGTACAGTGCCTAATAGATAAAATACTCAGTTAGTTGAAGTATGTTTTGACTTTTTGAAATAGCATCTCCTCCATATCCCAGGCTGTCCTGGAATCAGTGATCCTGCCTCAGCCTCCTAATATTTGGTATTATATGTGTGATTATCACACTAGCTAGGGTTTTTATATGTTATTTCAGATCTAGCTTTGGGGTAATTGAGTTCTAATAGCCGTAATTTTACAAATTGAGTATAGGGTATCAGAAACTACAATAACAGATTAGAAATGAAAAAACACCAATTTTGAATATATATTCCTATTTGGATTGTTTGCTTTTGTTTTTTGGAACAGACTCTCTTAGTCCAGGCTGGTCTTGAACTTGTGGTGCTCCTCCTTTTTCACCCTCCTGAGTACTGAGATTATAAGCACTGGCCACCATGCCCAGCACAATATATTTACTCTAAACATTCTATTTGAAAAGCCAAACAAGTACCATGTTCTCCCTAAAACATGGAAAATGTTGTATGAGAGATACATAAAAGGCTGTTAATATTGGCCCTGAGGAGATGCAGGAATTATTAGGTAAAGAACAACAGCCCAAATTCTCCTACATGGTTATGAGATGCTCTGTTTTTTTCTTATTAGAAAATTATTATTAATCCTAGCACTCAGGAGACAGAGGCAGATGAACTCTGTGAGTTCCAGGTCAACTGGGGCTACTGGGAGACCCTGTCTCAAAAAAAAGAAAGAAAATTATTAAGGCAGGTTCTTATTATGTTGCCTAAGCTTGATTCAAAGTCTTGGGTTCAAGCAACTCGCCCTTCTCAGCCTGTGGAAGTAGCTAGAATGATGGGCAGGTGCATGCTTTCACATTCAGTTAATTAATACAATTTTAAGTAAAAATCCAGAGAATTCTCTATTCAGGAGTGACATGGATCTCTTTAGCACTTCAAAACTGGTACCTGTAGATGACAGAAATTCACCAAGACACAGCTCTCCTGAGGGCTGCACTCCAGCTCTAAAACACACTGAGTTTGGACAGTCTCTCCTTCTTTACCTTCAAACCTGACCGGAAACTATCAGTAAAGAATTGGATCGTTAGGCAGGCGTGAGGTCCATGCCTATAAACCCGCACTTTTGAGGCAGAGGCTGAAGGATCAGGAGCTCAAGCTCATCTTTCAGTATGAGCTACATGAGACCCTGTCTCGGATTTTTTAAAATTCGATTGTTAACCTGTAATTAATAATTTATGAATTTCTTTGCATGTGTGAGTTATAAAATGTGACCTAGGTTTATTGGTACATACATGTCATCACCTAGTGTTACTGTATCGAGACCTGTGTGAACTTTTATGCTTGTCTGTGTTTGCCTTAGGAACCTGGGAGCACCAACAGTTGATACATGTGTACTTACAATTTTTTTTTTTTTTAAGATCCATTTGAGTTTTATGTGTTTGCCTGCATGTATGCATAAATGTGTACCACATATGTGCCTGGTGCCTGCAGAGGCTGGAAGATGGCATGCAGTCCCCTGGAACTGGAGTTATAAACAGTTGGGAGCCTCCATGTGGGTGCTGGGACCCAGACCCAGGTCCTCTTCAAAAGCTGCAAAGGCTTTTTTTAACACTGAGCCATCTCTCCAGCCCTATTGTATATTCTTGATTCATTATTCCCTTTATTGATATTTAGTTGACATTGTCTCTTCTAATTTATTTTGAAATCACTTTAGAGAGCAGAGTAACCGTACCATCTTGTTTTCAGCTTCCTTCGCTTGGTACGTTGACTTCCATCCTTTGATTCTCAGTCTGTGGTTGTCTTTGAAAGTGAGCTGAGTCTCTTGGAGACAACAGGTAGTTGAATCTTGTTCAATCCAGTCTGCTAGTCTGTGTTTGGTGAGTTAAGACCATATACATTTCAGGTTACTATTGGGAGATGTTTACTTATTCCTGTAATTTTATTTTCCTGTTTGGTTTTATTAGTTCTTTTCTTTCTCCCCTAATGGTATTGAGACTTAATGGTTTACTGCGTTAGACATGATGGATACTTTCCTAGCTTTTCTCTTTGTCTTTTCCTCTCTAGAAATTTATTCTTTCCTGTCTTCTTGGGATCAAAACTTCCTTCTTCCTCTGATAAAGTAGTCCCTTCAAGTATCTTCTTCAGTGCAGGCTTAGTGCTCATGAACTGTTTTACTTTATGCCTGTTTTGAAATGTCCCTTTTTTCTTCATCAGTTTTAAAGGCTACCTTTGCAGCATGCAGCAGTCTTGGTTGGCAGTTACTGACTTTTGTGGCTTGAAATACATTGTTTCATGCTTTCTTGGCTTTTTAAGATTGCTGTGGAGAGATCTGATGTTAGTCTTACAAATTCTCATTTGTAGGTGACTTGGCATTTTTCCCTTAGAGCTTTTATTTTTTTAATATTTCATTTATTATTTTATGTGTATGAGTGTATTGTCTCCAAGTATAGATGTGCACCCCTGTCATGCAGTACCCACAGAGGTCAGCAGTGGGCGTCGGATCTCCTAGACCTGGAGTTACAGACAGTTGTTAGCTGCCATATGGATGCTTGGAAACTGAACCCAGGTCCTCTGCAAGAGCAGTCAATTCTCTTAACCGCTGAGCTGTCTCTCCAGCTCCCCTTACAGCTTTTAATACCGTTCCTTCACTTTGTATTATTGACATCTTAACTACTAATATGCTGTGGAAAAGTTCTCTGGTCCTGTCTGTTTGGAGTTCTGAACACTGCTTTTGCGTGAATGTTCATTTCTCTAGATGTGAGAAGTTTTCTACTGTAATTTCATTTAATAGTTTGTGTTTTTGGCTTTTTCTCAGCTCCTTCTGCCCTGTGGCGTCTTGAACTCTTAGTCTCTTGATTGTATCCCACAGATCTTAGAATTATGCTCATGTGCTTTTTTAAATTTTATTTTATTTAATAACCACATGATTAGAAGAAGCATTTCATTACAGCTTTAACATATTCAAGAACAATTTCCAGAACAAGGGTACATCTCTTTCAAAAGTGGCTGTAAAGTTTTAGGTTCACAGTTGAATTAATACAGTTATACAATATTGAACTCAGTATAAACCCTGTAAGACATAAAATTGAATGAGGTTTTAACCTTTAAAAAAGATCTCCATTTCAGAATATACTGTTTCCTACAGAAAGACTCATTTTTAATGCTACTAAAGCTTAGATGTTTGCACATGTGTCTCTAATTTCTATGTATCTGATTATTACTAGTCACAGTCACTTACACTCAGATCCTTGGCACCTGAGTATGGATATAAAGTCATCAGGTAGATTTCAATGGTAATGTTTATCACCTCTACTAATTATAACATGAAGTAAATTTTTATGCTTCTTCCTCAAGTATGACCCATTTTTAAAAATTTGTTGATTTTTTATGTGTATTTCATACAGAACATCCCAAACAATCTTATTCATCTATATACCCACACCCCAAATGGCACCCTCCCATAGCCCC